CTAAAGTCTCATGATAATTGTCTCACAACTAATAGTAACTCCTCTCTCTGCTTGTTGGTCTACTGGCATGAAGAAAGCCAAGGTGATGTTTTTATTTTGAATTATGTCCTGTGGCAGAAATGTTGCTCCCAAAGGAAGAAACCTTCAACAGAGTATGGTGAAAGCCATGGGGGTGGGGATGTAAACACTCGCTCTTGTGACTAGAGGTTCACAATGGTTCACTGGAGGTCTAATGACATCTTATGCACTCCTGTCAAAACACATGGTCTTGTCTGAGAAACCTGAAGACACAGGTGCCATGCTGTGTAATGTGTGGCTGGCCACTGTCAGCTGTACTTCTCCTGACTCTGAACCTCCAAGATTGACCACCCCTCTGCCTTTTAGGAAATATCCATTCACTTTCATAGAATCTGCAACTTGGCAATAAGTATATTCTGTTAATTTTGAAGCTGTTCTCTCTTTAAGGTGCCTGTACATAAATTGGTTCTGCTTCTATTTATGTCACTTTTAAGCTTTAATTTCAAAGGTACTGTGATGTCTTGTCTTCTTAGTTTTTTGTTTTATTTTGTTTTTTCGGGCGGGGGGGGAGTTATTACCTGAATACAGAGTCCAAGTTATGTTACTTCTCATATGTTAGTATAAACTTCCATTTGGTTCATTTCTACCATGATACTCAGAAATAAGTATATTATATGTCATACATATCTAATTATATTTTTAGATAACTCAAGGTTTCTCCTCCAATCTTTGCCAAAGCCTACATGTGAAATAGAGTAGTATGTGTGCTTTCTTGAAAATCACATGGTTCATCATTCTTAAAAGGAAGACAATCAGACTATATGTCTCTAAAATGCTCCTGTAAGTTCCTAGGAGCCTGGCCAAGTTAAAGGAACATAGCAGGCCTGGGCTAGAATATCCAGATAGTGAAGTTCATGGGCTTTCCCTCACAAATTCTGGGAACTAGAGCAAGTCGGTATTATTTGTAGAAGATAGAAGATAAAAGAAGAAGAAGAAGAAGAGGAGGAGGAGGAGGAGGAGGAGGAGGAGGAGGAGGAGGAGGAGGAGGAGACGACCAGGACTGCTCTCCTTGGGATGCTGACTATACAAGGAACAAAGCAAGACAAGCAAGCTCATGCTGATGATGTCACTGCTTCTAGAGCCTAACTTATAAAACTCCTCTCCCTGTGGTGACTGGTGCAGAATGGAGGACACTGTGCAAAGGATGTGTCACTCATCCAGATGGCTGCCAGTGGACATAACACTATGAGGGTCAGGAGGTGTTCTCTTCTGGGGTAGCATCATGACAGACAGGAGGTACTACTTGGTAAAGCACTGTGAAGGACAGAGGTGCTCCTGTCCAGTCATTGCCACTGGTCTCTCTAGTGAGGGTATCTTTCCAGCTCATCCCCACTGGACCTTCCCCATAAGCATCTCCCAATAAACCTTATGTCTCATCCTCCATCTCCAGGCATCTTCTTTGGTTCCTTCTCTCAGCAACCTATCCTGGTGCCCAAGAATGACTGGGCTACAGACATGACACAGGGGCTCTCATGTTGATCAGGTAATAATCTCATATCACTAACTTGAACTTACAATTTACCGGTCACACTCTTCCCACCCCCCAGTTCTCTTCTGTGAGTTTAAATGATGCTTGCAAGTGTCCAACAAGTCAACATCTATCATAAATAAGACATAAATGATTCAAATCTAGTGCCATGTGTATATGACGCAAAATGCAAGGTTGTTTTCCAAAATACAAAGTTGGTCTCACATTTGAACATTCTTCAGTGTTTTAGCCACACTGCTTAAAAAAGGCACAATTAACCATAACATTATCACAACTCATAAAGAAAAGTCACTTCATAAATCTCAACATCATTTTCAAGAAAGTAAACCTTTCCCCATGGTATTGGCATAAAAACCACATAGACCAAGGGAACAGAATAGAGTACCCAGAAAAAACCTCTTGCATCAAAAGCCAACTGATTTCTGACAAAGCAAACAAAAACATACATGGGAGAAATGACAGCCTTTTCAGCAGATGATACCTGGAAAACTGGATATTCAAATGCAGATGATTGACGCTTGACTGTTCTCACTCTATGCAAAAATCAATTCAAAATGGCTCAAAGACCCAAATATAAGACCTGGAACTATAAAACTACTTAAAGAAAACATGGTGGATACACTTCAAGATGTTTAGACAGGTAAGTATTTTTGCATAAGACCCCCAAAAGCACACAAAAATTTTTCCTAAAATTTTCCTAAATTTCTTAATCTGATATAATGCCATTTGTCAAACAGCAAAATTTGACAAATGACATTATATCAGATTAAGAAGTTTAGGAAAGCATCAACAGAGTGAAGAGACAGCCTACAGAACGGGAGACAAATTTGCAAGTTACTCATCTGACATTAATCATTATCCAGAATATATAAAGAACTCAAAACTTCAATAACAAAAAACAAATAATTCAATTAAAATATAAGCAAATAATACAAATAGATAATTGGCAAAAGAGGAAATTCAACAGTCAACAAAATTTATGGAAAAATGCTCAACATCATTAACTGTTAGGGAAATGCAAATTAAAACCAGATGAGACATCACATTCCTATTAGAATGATTATGCTAAAAATAGACCAAAACGTGCTGGTAAGGATATGGAGAAAAGGGAACCCTAAAACACATTTACAAATGCAAATTTATATGATCATTATGGAATGGAGAACAGTATCCTTTAAAAACCTAACAATAGTACTATCATGTGATCTGATTATCCCACTTCTGAATTTTTATCCAAAGAAAATGATGTCCATATATCAAGGAGACACCTGCTTACTCATGTTTATGTCGGGCTGTTCAAAGTAGCAAAGGAATGGAATCAACCTACATGTATTGAAATATCACTCTGTTCCTTCTTAAATATATATAATTATTATATGCCCATAAAAATTTTAAATGTTTCGTTTGATCACTATCCATTGCATGTATGTGCTGAATTATCACACTGTACCCCATAAATATATAGGATTAAAATAATAATAAAGTATTTTAAAACTTTTAAACAAAAATACCTTAGTAAATAAGGAATAAAATAGTCTCATTACTCTGTTAAAATAATCTACAAAAAAAAATAGAGGAAGCATCAAACATAACTGGGGAATTTGTGAATTCTCCCTTCTGAACTGAGAATATACAAGGATATCCACTACACCTTTATATGAAATATGGTGCCAGAGGCTCTACCAAATGGTCAAAAACAAGAAAAAAATGCAAGATAAAAGAGTGAAATGAGGTTAATAAAGAATTATCATTTGCACATGATTTTGACAGTGCCTGACTTGCCATGCAATAAACAATTAGAAAAAGCTAGAGAGCTTTGATACATGATTAACATTCAAAATAAATAATTTTCTATATTTCAGAAGCATTAAACTTAAAGTTTTGAGTTATGTATAATAGAATAAAAAATAAGATGTCTCAGAATAGGTCAAAAGAAAGGTAAGAAAAAAAAAGAAAAAAAATACATAAACTAGAAATTATAAGTAATTCTACATGTAGTTTATATGATAAAAAGTTTTAACTACATATACCAAGGCTCTGTACAAAAACATGCATAGCAACACAGTTTTCATAATCCCCTTCTACAAAGAAGTCATGTGCTTGTCTAGAAGCTAATCAACAACAATGAAGTTGTGTTAACTTCATGTATTATTGGGAATTACACAGCAGTGAAATTTAATAAACTACAGATGATTACAGTGGTAAATCTAAAAGAAAAAAGAGAGAGAGAGAGAGAGAGAGAGAGAGAGAGAGAGAGAGAGAAACCAATTTTTATTTATAATAAAAATCAAACAGCCACTACTAACCTCCAGGGTTACAAGTCAACAGAGGGACTGGCTCCTTCTGGGGACAAGTCAGAGGATACCACTGGAGGGAAAGAGTCAATTTCACTTCTCAACCTGGTAACAAGGACATGAACAGATTCAATTTGTAATATTCCATCAAGCTGGAAATTAATCCTTTCCATCCTTTTTTTAAATGAATGGTGTACCTAACAAAGAGTTAGAAATATGTAAGGCCTCAAAGATAAATGAAGTATCATCTCAGTCTTAATTCCCTCATTAAAGAAAAGAAACATGGAGAGAAAGAGAGGGGAAAGGTGGAAAAGGAGGGCAGGAGGGGAGGAAAGAAATGGAGGGGACAACTGGCCTAGTATCACTGGCTCCACTGGTACCCAGGTTAGGATGGAGTCATCAATTCATCATGGTCTGCCTGTATCTGCAGCAGGGCAGGTTCTTCGCCATGAGCCCCTCAGTCCTGGGCAAAGTAGGGCCAATGGTCATCCATAAATCCATTGATACATTCTTATTCCTAATGCACTGATTCTGCATCTACCCATCCTCTGATTTGGCTCTGCCATTGGGATCACTTTTCACTAAACATCCTTTTCTCAGGTGTACTTAAGACCAAAAGACCTACAGGTTGAAGAAGCAGATACAGACACAGACCACAGTATTCATCTTGATTTGGGGGGGAGGGGGAGGCAAAGAGATAACAAATCAGGTATTCAATTTGTTCCCGTGATCATCTCCTCAGCATGTCCTTCCGCAAAATGTCCCAAAACACACTTCCCAATCCAAGTACAGCCAAGAAAACAAAACTGTGGAGAAACAACCACCTTGACCCTCACAGACCTCAGTGACCAGGTGATGATCAGAGCAGGAACAATGCAGATGCTGTGGCTCCTTCCTTTTATCTCAACAAAGTCCCTATGACTTACTGCCAATTAAGAAACAGATGAAACACTCACTTTCGAAAGATTCATGACATTTAGGGAACAACTTCCTCCTTGTTAATATCCATACTGAACATAGAAAACAATAGGAAAATAATGTAAACAACAAGGAGGAAATGTCCTAATGATTGGCCCAAACCTTGGAAGACCCAAGTATAAAAGGCCCAGATGGGGAGAAGTCATCAGATTCTAGGAAAGTCTCCTGTGAACAGGATCCACCCTCCACACCTGCCACCATGAGTGACTGCTGCTGCTCCCCTTGCTGCCAGCCCACCTGCTGCCAGCCCACAGGCTGCAGGACCACCTGCTGCAGGACCACCTGCTGGAAACCAGCCTGTGTGACCTGCTCCTGCACACCCTGCTGCCAGCCCAGCTGCTGTGGCTCCAGCTGTGGCTCCAGCTGCTGCCAGCCCTGCTGCCAAACCACCTGCTGCAGGACCACCTTCAAACCCACCTGTGTGACCAGCTGCTGCCGCACACCCTGCTGCCAGCCCTGCTGCTGTGTGTCCAGCTGCTGCCAGCCTTGCTGCCAGCCCAGCTGCTGCGGGTCTAGTGGCTGTGAGTCCAGCTGCTGCCAGCCCAGCTGCTGTGAGTCTAGCGGCTGTGGGTCCAACTCCTGCTGTGAGTCCAGTGGCTGTGGGTCCAGCTGCTGCCAGCCAGTTTGCTCTGGACCCGTGTACTGCACAAGGAGATGCTACCACCCCACCTGTGTCTGCCTGCCTGGTTGCCTAGGCCAGGGCTACGGATCCAGCTGCTGCCAGCCTTGCTGCTAATGCTCAAGTCCCCAAAGGACCAACATCTGCGCAAACTTCTGTCAACTGACTTGCCTTGCCCGCACAAATTCACTTTCTACCTTTCCTGAAAACCATCATGCTATCACTAAGATGTCTGTTAATCATCTCCTTTATAAGAGCTTGTAAATCACTATGAGGGGGTGCAGACTACTTCATTCTCTTCTTCCTTAGGCCTAATGGATCTCGGGCCAGCTGCATAGATCCTTGATGTGGAGCTATGGCCTTGGCTTAAATTCTGAAGCCAAGTTCTTTACCTCTTTTTCTAAATAACTTAGGAAGACACTTCTTCATTAAAAAATTTCAAAAAAGTTTATGCAGCTGATCAACCATATTTTCTTTTGCAGCATATTCTGGATTCTTGTATACTTCTTTATCCTTTTCTATTAGTTTCTGTTGTTTCCCCAGATGCAGACACCCTTAATAAATTCTGTACCATTATTCGTTCCTTATGTCTGTCTTTGTTTTACTATTGTAAGATCACTTGACATTAGATGTACACACTAAATAGATCTGAAGAGTACAATACATTGACATTGTAGTACACACCATAGGTATAATGTCTCTGGAAGTTTTTCCTCTTGGATAACTGAAAGTCAGTATTCATTGATTAGAATTCCCAACATCCTCCTATTACAGCCTCTGGAAACTACCATTCTAGTCTTTCTTTACCTGAGTTTGATTTTAATACACCTGATGTGAGTGGAATCGTGTAGAAGGTATCATTCTGTGACTGGCTTATTTCACTTAGCATAGTATCCTCAAGGTTCACCCATCTTATCGAAAAATAGAATTCCATCAGTTTTAAGGCTGAATAGTATTCCATTGTATGTTTGTACCATGTTTTCTTGAACCATTCATTACTTCCATATCTTAGCTACTGTTAATAGTGTTGCCATGAATTCTGGAGTGCTAATATCTTTTCTGCATTCCGATTTCAATTGTTTACATAAGCACTCTGAAGTGGGTCTGCTGGATCATATGACATTTGTTTTTAATTTTCAGAGGAATCTCCATTCCATAGTCTACAGTTGATACCTCATTTATAATCAAACCAGTATGCACATTCTGTCAACACCAGTACTCTATTGAGTAATTTTTTTTTATAATAGCTAGACACAAAATTCCAATATTTCATTTAACTCAATGTTAAAATAATATCCCAATGTTTAATGACAAATTGCATGATCTTGCCTAAGAAACTAGATGACCAAGGAATAATGTCCCTCTTCAGGCTTTAGTTGGGCAATGCCAAAATCCCACCTGTGCCTCTTTCAACTCCATCCTTCCATGGTAGACCAACTCCCTGCCTTTTGTGAAACACACATTGATAATCACAAAATACTCAGTCAGGCTAGTGTAAGTTCTGCTGATCTTGAATCCAGTATATTTATTTAACATGGATTTGTTTAAATTGGCTCTTTTCCTACTTGCATCACTTTTACAGCCACCTTCCAAGGATAATCTGATCTCTCTCCTTTTCCTGTCTTGTGGCACCCAAGTGGATAGCACCAATTGTCCTACTTCAAATTTGTTAATGTAAATTTTCATTTGTTTCCTCCCTGACATAGCATTTGATAGCCAGTTACAATGTTACTTGTCACACAAGTAAATTTCTATTTTTGGTAACTCAAGAGTTTCTTTCTTTAATTCCTTTCAAAGTCCAAATGTAAGATCCACAGTGGTAGGTCTTCTGAAAGTCCCAGGGGCTCTCACTTTTATGTGTGGTCATCTGATGCCACCAGCTTCTTGGTAGTGTTTTCCAATCGCACTTTGCCCCCAGGTCTTCTTTGGTGAGTTCAGCTGATGCTTACACACACTACTACGTTGTTCCTTTGAAAATCTGAATAGAGGGTAAAAGACAATTCTTCAATCATGGCTGTGGAATAAAAAAATATGGCTGTAGAGATGACCCATCTGAATTTCAGAACATTGGTACAGCCTCTGTTTCTGTGTTTCACAAGCTCACATCAAAGGTCAGCTTTGACCACAAGTTCCCCCTTGAAATTCCCCTTACGGTGTGTCTGCCAGAGAAGAACCCTTGGGATATTCCAGCATACCTACTCTAAGAGCTCTGCTCGTGTATGCTATAGGCTTGAGAGGATCCTCAGAAAACCAGGACACTGTGCCACAACCAGGCAAATTTGGGCCACAGGAAGGTAGAGGAAATATAGTGAGGACAGCAAAACAAATTTATGAAATGAAAAGTCAGTATATACATCCCCCATGAGACAGAAGGGAGCCAAGACCACGCCATAGGCAGCAGATGGAGACCACAGGGGATTAACAGAAACCTGAAGTTGGTCCAGTGTCTTAATGTGTTCCAGTGTTTTAACCACATTTGCTGAAATAGGTACAATAAGGATTTCATTGTATCCACTCATACAGAAAAATAAAAGCATTTTACAAAGGTGAAAAGCTTTTCAAGACAGAGTGCTGTAGCAAATTGAGAAGGAAAATAAAAAGACATGACTGTTAACTAAGAAGGCCAGTTTTATTCATAAGTGAGTCGATCAAGTGGTGGGAGAACAGGTGCCAAATTTGTCTCCTGCATGAAGTTTTTGGACATCTGATATCAGAGACGTCACAAAACAGACACTATCCTAGGCCCAAGTGAAGGGTCAGCTATTGTCCCTGGACGAAAGCTGCCTCCAAGTACCTGGAAGAACACTTCAGAAACTATTTCAATCATGGCCCACATTTCAGAGGTATTAGCTGTAGCAAACCTACTGGGAATTTCACAGTATATTACTTAGCTAGTGACGTCTGGAACTGTTGGTTCTTAAAGTCATTAGGTACAAGTCACTAGAGAGATGAGAAGCAGGTAAAGACTAGAGAGGGTTTAATTATCACTAGTGAAAATTGCTTTTGCCCTCGTGAAAAAAATCTAGAGAAAAGAAAAGAAGGATCATAGATGATGGGGAAAAGTTGGGAGCTCTCACTCCTAGGCTGGGATTGTAAAAAGAAAAGTATTTGATGCACAATTATACCAGAGGGTCTACCAGTGAATCAAGGCAGGAAAAAATGGAAGATAGACTATGCTAAGAAGAACAGAAGCATCACAGACCATGACAGGATTGAGCATTAGAAACTGCTCCACTCCAAAAAATCTACAATAAACTGTTTGGATATCACATAAACGTACAGTAATGATCATATTCAATATTTCCCATACAGCAAAATTTTATATTTTAAGTTATAACATATAGCATGCATTAAAAACAAAATATCTAAGAATAAATTTAGGGAAAAATTGACAGGACTATGACAAAGAAAAGAATAAAGATTTCCACATGGGAATTAATAGACAATTCTATGTCAGTTTGTATATCCACCAGAAAAGTTTGTATACATGACAGCAAGCTCGGTATGAAAATCTATATAGCAGCATGAATATGCATAGCCCCAATCTGCAAACAAGCTGCACGTTAATCTAGAAGACAAGCAACAGACAATTTTCATCCAATTCAGTCTGTGGAAGATCTTACAACACTGAGAGTTAGCTTAATTCAGATAATTACAAGGATGTACCTCACACAAAGAACAAAAATAGAGAGAAACCAATTCTACTATTTGATGAACCTAAGAGTGAAAAAAGCCACTTAGATGGTATGTTGAACAAAGGGATGAAAACCCGTTGGAAAAACGTGGCAGAATATAATCTGCAGGTTATGGGTAGACGTCTATATTCTAAGTTGTATTGTTTTAAAGAAATGGTAGACTTCAAAATGTTTTGAATGTTAGTCCTCACAGAACAGATATGGAAGGTGGAAGAGCTGGGACAGAGACAGATGCCTCTAGGAGCCTTCCGTCAGGATGCTCTGGGTAAACACATGTACTGTCCCTCCCTGTGAATACAGCAGCAGCATGCTCCTGCCACAGACACCTCCTAATAATCTAAATACAATCAAAGGAAAAATATTCTAAAAGAAATGCTGCACTGATCTGTCCAGAGCAGCATTAGCTTTCCCATTGACCCAAAAGATTGATCAGAGCACCAAGGATGCCAAGGTCTTGAGTGAGGATCCTCTGGGTAAGCACAGGTGCCAATTTTCCTGGTGAATACCACAGCACCATGCTCCTCCCACAGACACTTTCTAATTTGAATACAGACAAAGAAACAAAGCTCCAGAGGAACAACTGCCTCACCCTCCCAGGACAACACATGACCAAATTGATACTCGGAGCACATAGGATGCTAACGAGGTGACTGTCTTCCTTTCATCTGGAACAGTTCCTGTGAGTTGACACCCTTTTAGGAAACAGATTAAACACTTTCACAACACTCATCACATTTACATAACAAATTATTCTACAACAAACAAAAAATAATGCAGACAATAACATAAACAACAACAAGGCAAAGGGCTGCTGATTGGTCCCAACTTTGGAAACCCCATGGATAAAAGAGCCCAACTGCAAGGAGTCCTCATATCCTGCAAACTCACTCACCTGTGAACAGGATCCCACCCTCCACAGCTCACACCATGGCCCACTCCAGCTGCTCCTCTTGCTGCAAGCCTACCTGCTGCAGGACCACCTGTTGCAAGACCACCTGCTGGAAACCAGCCTGTGTCACTAGCTGCTCTAGCACACCCTGCTGTCCACCCAGCTGCTGTGGATCCAGCTGCTGCCAGCCATGCTGTCCCCCAAATTGCTGTAAAACTACCTGCTGCAAGACCACCTGCTGCAAGCCAACCTGTGTGGTCAGCTGCTGCAGCACACCCTGCTGTGAGCCTTGCTGCTGCATCGTTCCCTGCTGCCAGCCCTGCTGCCCTCCTACTTGCTCTAGAACCACCTGCTGCAGGACCACCTGCTCCAAAAAGTCCCATGTGACCCTCTGCTGCAACACACCCTGCTGCCAGCCCTGCTGCTGTGTGTGCATCTGCTGCCAGCCTTGCTGCCCGTGATCAACTCCCAAAGACCAAGGTCTACAAACTCTGCTCAACCTGCTTGCCTTACCTGCAATTCCCCTCCTACCTAGGCTTAAAACCATCAGACTGTCATCAGAAATTATGTTCATCACCTCCCAAGTAAGACCTTGTGAATCACCTTGGGGGAGTGCAGACCACCCCACTCCTATCCGCTTTTTTCCTTAGGTCTTATGGACCCTGGTTCAGCTTCACAGGTCCTTGAAGGAGAGCTGTGGTCTTGATTAGAATTGTGAAGCCAAATCTTTATCTCTCCATCTAAATAACAAAGAAGCACACTCCCTCAGAAGAATTTCATAGGTATATGCAAGTGCTCCTTCATCTTTATAGTCATGGTGTTCTCCATATTCCTATTTGCCATTTTTTCTGTCAGAATCACCTTCAGTTGGCTTCCTTGGTACATCCCTTCTTCATAAATTCCTAATAAATTATAAATCTTTATTCATTCTGCATTGTCTTTCTTTACCTTCTTGTGTTGAGACCCCTAACATGGAAATCATATTCTTGATCGATTTTAAGTGCAAAGTAGATTGTCATTGTATCCCACACTGTAGCACAGACACCCAGAAGTTGTTCATCTTGCAAAATTAAAATGGCATACCCATTGGTTGGCAGCTTTCTACTTCCACCTAACCCAGCCTCTGAAATCCACCACTCTATTCTGTCCCTATGTGAGTTGACCGACTGTACATACCTCATATAGGTGGAATCCTGCTAATGTTTTCCCTGTACTTGGCCTAGTTCATTTAGGGGACAGGGCGAAGTTTCACCCATGTTAGCACAGGGGGAAGGATTTTACCACTTTCATGCCTGAATAGTATTTCAGTGTGGGTTTCTGTCCTATTCTCTTGATCCATTTCTCTGTCAATGGGTAGTTGGGTTTCCCACAACTTTGCTCTTATTCATGATGCTTCCTTGAACACAAGAGTGTTGATGTCTTTTCAAGTTTCTGATCCTATTCTTTCCCCTACAAATCCAGAAATGGGCTTTCAGGACCATATGGTATGTCTAAGTCTGTTCTTTTTTAGGAAATTCCATAGTGGCTCCTGCATCATTAGACATTCCTTTCTGTGTAGCAGATTTCCAGTTTCTCCACATCCTTGTCAAAACCCTTATTCAGTCAGTACTTTGTGGAAGAGCCACACAATATCACAATACCATGATGATTGCAATGTTCAAACAATATGGCCTGAAATGTCATACAATAAGACAAAATACTTGGTCTTGCCTAAGGAACTACAAGATCAAACAACAATGCCCCCACCCCCATGCCCTGTTCAGCTAGGCCCTGAAAATCTTTCCATGTCTCCCTCCTCTCCACCAACATACCTGCACTCCTATGGTATACCACCTCGCTGCCTTTAAAAACATCAATATTAATTTTCACAAAATCCTCAATCAGATTATAGGAAATACTGTTGACCTTGAAGCCAAACTTTCTCCTTGGGGTTTTATGCAATAAATGGTCTCTGCTCCTGCTAATGTCAGCTTCAAGTTCCACATTCAAAGAAGAACCTCCTCTCTCTTGTCCCATGGCAGCTAAGTGACCAGCACAAACAGGGATGTCTCTGACCTTTTTTTGTACAAATTTTCATTTGGTGCCTTCCTTATATAACATTTAGAGCCCTTTAGGATATGCCATGTCATATAAATCCAGCTATATTTTTGGACACATCAGTATTTCTTCATCCATGATATGAGTTTCTAAATTCCCAAAATAAAGTTATAATCCAATGAAAGGTCAGTGTTCAGAGAGTCACAGGGGCTCTCCTGTTTTATATGACATTGATTGAGTGACAAATTGATATCACTGGCTTCTTGATTGTTTCTCAAGGACATCTTTCCCCCCAACTTCTCCTCAGTGGGTTGAGTTGATACTCACTATCTTGCAAGTAAGTTTCTCTTCTGATCATTGGAGTGTACGCTAAAGGCACTGCTTCATTCATGCCCTACAGAATAATACAATGGTGATGTAAAAATGAACATTATCAATTATAAATATATGAGTCTAGACATTGTTTATGCAGTAATGAAGCTCAGTGATATGTCTATAAGAGACTCCTTAGAAATCCTCCATATGATGTGTGCTTCAGAAAGGAAGCCTTGGATCTGAGAGGAACACTGTAGATGCCTTTGCTCAGGTGCTGTCAGAGAACTGCCAGTTCATCATATAGAGAGGAGAGCCCCTTAAGAAGTCCAGGACATGCAACCGAAACATGGCCAAATTGGGTCACAAGAAAGTGGAGAATCTTGGCTTCTTCAGAATTTATTCAATGGAAGAAGGTAGCAGAAATACAATTAGAATAAAGGGATAATATAAATAGGATAGATCGTATTTGGATAGAAGTGGAACAAGACCAGAGTCACATGCATGTGATCATGACCCCAATTAGCTATTTTCAGAAATGAAAGGTTGTTCCAACTCTGGAACATTATTCAAAGTTTTCATCACATAGACTAAATAAGTGCAGAATAATCATAACGTTGCTTCAGTTCATGAAAAAAAAAATCAATGCATAAAATAAACACATTTCCAAAATCCAATACCTTAACAAGTGAGGATTAAAAAAGCCTTCCTGCTGTAGTTGAAACAGTTCTGATTCACCCACCATGAAGGGTGCCAACCCTTGAGACAAACAGCTTCCAAAAGAGAAAGTGATCATTCATCAGTCAAGCTGGGGGATAGGCGAGCAAGTCTCAAATCTGTCTTCACATGGAGTGTTTGGACCTCTGATGTCAGACACGACACACCAACCAACATGCCCTGGCACAGGAGCAAGGGAAGGGAGAGTGGTTTCAACAAGGTGCAGCAGAAAAGATGCCCTGCAAGTTCCTGGAAAACCTCCTGACCAACTGTTCCTCTTAAGCCATCATGACCTGTGGGTCACAGGTGTAATATAGCGCAAAGATGCAAGATAGACTATGCTGAAATGAACAAAAAGAGCATCATTATTTGTGATGTGATTGCACAAAAAATTACGCCCTTCCAAAAAGATCTACCATGCACTCTTAGATATAACCAGGGACTTTACATACAGGAACATATAAAATATGGATCACTTATAATATGTCCAAAGCAGTTAAAAATTTTGCTTCTAAATTATAATATATAACACACTTACATAATAGAATATCTAAGAAGAAATAAAGTGAAACACGGACAAGACCACCAGAGAAAGAATGAATACTTCCATTTGGGAATTTCATGAGTAATCCTATACTTGGTTATAGATCCACCAGAAATACTTTTATATATCACCACAGGCTCTGTGCAGAAACATTGATAGCAGCACAAATTTGAATGGTCCCAAGCTACAGACAAGCTACATGATCATCTAGGGGACATGCAACAGATTGTGTCATTTCATTCAGTGGATACTTTACAGCAATGAGAATGAACACACTACAGTACCACTCTCACACTCACCACATAAGGAGACTCAGCAATTCTATTATCTGAAGCAAACTAATGGTGAAAAAAGTCAAAATTGCCCTAGAGGTCCACATGTCAACAGAGGCTTCTGTCTCCTTTGGAAATCAGTGACAGGGTAGGGTTTGAATGGAACAGGGTTCATTTCTATTTCCTAACCTGATATACTGACAGGGATGCATTCACTTTAGGATATTTCACCACACTGGAAATTAATAAATTTCATCTTTCTGAACACATTGATAGACCTGAAAACATTTTAAATATGTTAGTCCTCACAGGTAAACCAGGTGCCATCTCATCTAATCTTAATTCCCTCATGAAATAGAATTGAGGCTGATATATTTAACAACTCCTCCTTAAAAAGCCATGGGCTACATTTTTGTATTGTATCAACGTATGCCCTGATTGTTCTTGATTTTACTGAGATGCCTCCTTCCTCTAACAATTTACTTAACACTCTTTCAGTTTGTTTTTTGCTAATTTCTGATCCCGTATTTCTACTATAATACAACCCAACAAGATGACGCCAAACAAAACCGAGACAGAATGAAATAAAAAGGGAACAACAAAAAGTCATTATAGCCTTTCTATCCTCCTGACATGTGCATCCGTCCTTTCTCCCTATCTGTTCCTCAGACGTAAATAGTTTTTCCTCAGATGTGAGCGGTTTTTCTTCCGTCTCACTCATCTCCAGGGACAGGCAACTTAAAACAAAAGTGAAGCAAAATAAAAGAGGAATCTTAAAATGGCTACCCATCCTCTCGCCCTGCCCTCAGGGGCGAGCAGTTTCACTTACCCTCAGTTGCTCCCCGTGCGAGCCACCAAATCTCCCCCTCTCTGTTTAAACAACAAGCATGTGGCTTAGGGACCGTGCCTGTTAGGCAGTCCAATTCAACATATGGTCCTTACCCGTCATCGGATGAACTGACCTCTAGGCGTCAGCCTCCTGTCTTAGGTTGGTACCACTGCAATTGGATCATACCCGTCACTGACTACCGGTCCGGCATACAGCCATACTTGTGGATAGGCCTTTGCACCTGTGGGGGGGTGAGGTTCTTTGCCTCACCTCTGTCTGACTAACTTGAGAGACCTTCTCTTTTACTTGAATCATTATGTCTTCTTCTTCCTCTACCATTGTCTGAACTGAAGGCTTTGGACTAAGCAAACAAGATACGAATGTCCACAATGGCAATGTGCCAACTGGCAGAGTCCCTGGGCTTTTCTTTTCTTTTTTTTTTTTTTTTCAAACTTTTTAATATTTATTGTTTTAGTTTTCGGCGGACAAACATCTTTGTGTGTATGTGGTGCTGAGGATCGAACCCGGGCCGCACGCATGCTAGGTGAGTACTCTACCACTGAGCCACAATCCCAGCTGGAAGTTTGCTGGGGCCCCTCAGGCTGTGGCTCTCAACATCGGCAAGAAAGCAATGGACAGAAACAAAAGGGAGGACAAAGAAACACAGAAAGACAGAAAAAAATCCCTGACCAAAGATCATTGACTCCCCTGGGACCCAGGGTAGGACTAGAGTCACCAGCTCATCCTACTTTGCCTGGGTCCGCAGAGCTCAAGTGACAGAAAGTCCCACAGGCTCATCCTGGTGAGACCTCAGTACTGCATCAACAGGATGATGGTCACCCACACTTCCATCCCTACCTGACTGGTCTCCATATACTGCCTCTTCTTCTACCCTCAGGCTCTGCTTGTGCGCTGCTGGGAAGGACCATGTGTCCCACATTATCTTTCAAAGTGCCACCAAGACACATAAGTGGAAGAGAAAACACAGAAAGGTTCTTGAGTGAGCACAGGTGCCAATTGTCCTGGTGAATGCCACAGCACCATGCTCCTCCCACAGACACTTTCTAATCTGAATACAGACAAAGGAACAAAGCTCCAGGGGAACAACGGCCTCACCCTCCCAGGACAGCAGGACACAACCCATGACCAAATTGATACTCAGAGCTAATGAGGTGACTGTCTTCCTTTCATCTGGAACAGTTCCTGTGAGTTGACACCTCTTAGGAAACAGATTAAACACTTCCACAACACTCATCACATTTACATAACAAATTCTTCTAAAACAAACAAAAACTGAATGCAAGCAATAACATAAACAACAACAAGGCAAAGGGCTGCTGATTGGTCCCAACTTTGGAAACCCCATGGATAAAAGAGCCCAACTGCAAGGAGTCCTCATATCCTGCAAACTCACTCACCTGTGAACAGGATCCCACCCTCCACAGCTCACACCATGGCCCACTCCAGCTGTTCCTCTTGCTGCAAGCCTACCTGCTGCAAGACCACCTGCTGGAAACCAGCCTGTGTCACTAGCTGCTCTAGCACACCCTGCTGTCCACCTAGCTGCTGTGGATCCAGCTGCTGCCAGTCATGCTGTCCTCCAACTTGCTGTGAAACCACCTGCTGCAAGACCACCTGCTGCAAACCAGCCTGTGTCACCAGTTGCTGCAGCACACCCTGCTGTCCACGCAGCTGCTGTGTGTCCAGTTGTTGTGGTAAATCCAGCTGTGAGTCCAGCTGCTGCCAGCCCTGTTTTACCCCAACTTGCTGTGAAACCACCTGCTGCAAAACCACCTGCTGCAAGCCAGCCTGTATGGTCAGCTGCTGCAGCACACCCTGCTGTGAGCCCAGCTGCTGTGAGCCTTGCTGCTGCCCCAGTTGCTGCATCATTCCCTGCTGCCAGCCCTGCTGCCCTCCTACTTGCTCTCGAACCACCTGCTGCAGGACCACCTGCTCCAAAAAATCCCATGTGACCCGCTGCTGCAGCACACCCTGCTGCCAGCCCTGCTGCTGTGTGTGCACCTGCTGCCAGCCTTGCTGCCCGTAATCAACTCTCCAAACACCAGCATCTACACAAAATCCTCTCAACCTGCTTGTCTTACCTGAACAAATTCTTTTCCTACCTTGGCTGATAAACATCAGACTGTCAAAAGAAATTATGTCCATCACCCCCCATTAAGACCTTGTAAATCACCTTGAGGGAGTGCAGACCACCCCACTCCCATCCACTTCTTCCTTAGGTCTTTTGGACCTTGGTTTTAACTCATAGGTCCTGGATGTGGATGTGTGCTCTTGATTGGAATTCTGGAGCCAAATTCTTTATCTTTCCATCTAAAGGACATAGTAACACACTCCTTCAGAAGAATTTATAGGTATATGCATGTGCTCCTTCGTCCTTACAGTCATGGTTTCTTTCCCAGTGTTCTCCTTATTCCTGTTTGCCATTTCTTCTCTCAGAATCACCTTCAGTTGGCTTCCTCGGTACATCCCTTCTTCACAAATTCCTAATAAACTATAAACCTTTATTCATTCTGTATTGTCTTTCTTTACCTTATCGTGCTGAGACACCCTGACATGGAAAGCACATTCTTGATCGATTTTAAGTGCAAAGTACATTGTCATTGTATCCCACTCTGTAGCACAGACACCCAGAAGTTGCTCAGCTTGCAAAATTGAAATGGCATACCCATTGACTGTCAACTCCCTGCTTCAACTTACCCCAGCCTCTGAAATCTACCACTCTATTATGTCCCTATGTGAGTTGATCAACTTTACATACCTGCTAATGCTAGTGTTTTCCCTGCACTTGGCCTAGTTCATTTAGGGGAGAGGGCCAAGTTTTACCCATGTTAGCACAGGGGGAAGGATTTTACCACTTCCATGCCTGAATAGTATTTCAGTACTGTGGGTTTCTATCCTATTCTCTTGATCCATTCGTCTGTCGATGGGTAGTTGGGTTTCCCACAGCTTTGTTCTTATTCATGGTGCTTCCTTGAACACATGAGTGTTGATTTCTTTTCAAGTTTCTGATCCCATTCTTTCCCCTGCAAATCCAGAAGTGGGCTTTCAGGACCATATGGTGTGTCTAAGTCTGGAGTTTTGAGAAAATTCCATGCTGATTTACAAGATTCCTGCATCATTAGGCATTCCTTCTAGTGAAGCTGATTTCTCCACATCTTGTCAAAACCCTTATTCATTCATTACTTTGTGGAAGAGCCACAAATGGTATTCCAATACCACAATGATTGCAATGTTCGAATGATATGGCCTTGTTTACTGAAATGGCATGCAATAACAAAAAATACCTGGTCTTGCCTAAGGAACTACAAGATCAAACAACAATGCTCCCACCCCTGTGCCATGTTCAGCTGGGCCCTGAAAATCTTTCCATTTCTCCCTCCTCTCCACCAACATACCTGCACTACTAGGGAACACCACACCATTGCCTTTAAAAAATCAATATTCATTTTCAGAAAATCCTCAACCAGGTTAGAGGAAATACTGCTGACCTTGAAGCCAATCTTTCTCTTTGGGGTTCTATGCAATAAATGGTCTCTGCTCTTGCTAATGTCAGCTTCAAGTTCCACATTCAAAGAACAATCTCCTGTCTCTTGTCCAATGGCATCTGGGTGACCAGCTCAAAATATGATGTCTCTGACTTTTTGTACAAATTTTCATTTGGCTCCTCCCTGACATAACATTTAGAGCGCTTTAGGATATGTCATGTCATATAAATCCAGTTATAATTTTCGACACATCAGTATTTCTTCATCTATGAGTTTCTAAATTCCCAAAATAGAGTTATGATCCCAATGAAAGGTCAGTGTTCAGAGAGTCACAAAGGCTTGTGTGTTTTATGTGGCATTTGGTTGGGTGACAAATTGATATCACTGGCTTCTTGACTGTTTCTCAAGTACGCCTTTCCCCCCAGCTTTTCCTCAATGGGTTGAGCTAATACTCATTTATCTTGCAAGTAATTTCCTCTTATGTTCATTTGAGTGTAGGCTAAAAGCACTGCTTCATTCATGCCCTACAGAATAATACAATCTTGATGTAAAAATGAACAGTATCAATTATAAATAAACAGGTCAAGACATTGTTTATGCAGTAAGGAAGCTCAGTGATGTGTCTACAAGAGACTCCTTAGAATTCCTTCATATGATGTGTGCTTCAGAAAGAAAGTCTTGGGGTTTCCCAGTGCATGATCTGAGAGGAACACTGTAGATGCCTTTGCTCAGGCTCTGTCAGAGAACGGCGAGTTCATCATATAGAGAGGAGAGCCCCTTAAGAAGTCCAGGACATGCAACCGAAACATGGCCAAATTGGGTCACAAGAAAGTGGAGAATCTTGGCTTGTTCAGAATTGATTTAATGAGAGAAGGTAGAGGAAATACAATTAGAATAAAAGGATAATGCAAATAGTATAGATCCTATTTGGATAGAAGTGGGACAAGACCTGAGTCACATGCATGTGATCATGACCCTAATTAGCTATTTTCAGAAATGTAAGGTTTCAACACTGGAACATTATTCAAAGTTTTCATCACATAGACTAAATAAGTGCAGAATAATCATAACATTGCTTTAGTTCATGAAGAAAAATCATTCAACATCTTACGAGTGAGGATTGAAGAGTCCTGATTCACCCACGATCAGGGGTGCCAACCCTTGAAATATCGAGCTTCAAAAGTGAAACTGATCATTCATCAGTCAAGCTGGGGGATGGGCGAGCAAGTCTCAAATCAGTCTTCAGAATGGAGTGTTTAGATCTCTGATATCAAACATGACACACCACCCAACATGCCCTGGCACAGGAGCAAGGGAAGGGAGAGTGGTTTCAACAAAGTGCAGCAGAAAAGACACCTTGCAATTTCCTGGAAAATCTCCTGACCAACTGTTCCTCTTAAGCCATCATGACCTGTGGGTCAAAGGTGTAATATAGCACAAAGATGCAAGATATAAATACGCTGCTGAAATGAACAAAAAGAGGAGCATTATTTGTGATGTAATTGCATTAAAAAATTACTCCCTTTCTAAAAGATCTACCATGCACTCTTAGATATAACCAGGGAGTTTACATACAGAGACATATAAATGGAACATTTTTAATGTAGCCAACATAGTAAAAAAAAATTGACTTTTAAATTATAACATAAGAAATCATAACATATTATACACTTACATAATGGGATATCTATGAAGAAATAGAATGAAACACGGACAAGATAGCCACAGAGAAAGAATGAATCCTTCCAACTGGGAATTTCATGAGTAATCCTATACTTGGTTGTAGATCCACCAGAAATGCTTTTATACATCACCACAGGTTCTGTGCAAAAACACTTATAGCAGCACAAATTTGAATGGTCCCAAGCTACAGACAAGCTAGGGGACATGCAACAGATTGTGTCATTTCATTCAGTGGATGTTTTACAACAATGAGAATGAACACACTAGAGTATGACTCTCACACTCACCACAGAAGGAAACTCACTTATTATCTGAAGCAAACTAAAAGTGAAAAAACTCAAAATTGTCCTAGAGGTTCCCATGTCAACAGAGGCTTATGCCTCCTTTGGGGATGAGTGACAGGGTAGGGTTTGAACGGAACAGGTTTTGTTTCTATTTCCTAACGTGATATACTGACAGGAATGCATTCACTTTAGGATATTTCACCACGCTGGAAATTAATAATTTTCATCTTTCTGAACACATTGGTAGACCTGAAAACATTTTAAATATGTTAGTCCTCACAGGTAAACCAGGTGCCATCTCACCTAATCTTAATTCCCTCATGAAACAGAATTGAGGCAAAAAAAAAAAGCAATAGAAACAAAAGGGAGAACAAAGAAACAGAGACAGAAGGAAAGACAGAAAAAAATCCCTGACCAAAGATCACTGACTCCCCTGGGACCCAGGGTAGGACTAGAGTCACCAGCTCGTCCTGTTTTGCCTGGGTCTGCAGAGATCAAGTGACATAAAGTCCCAAGGCTCATCCTGGTGAGACTTCAGTACTGGATCAAACAGGACTGATGGTCACCCACACTTCCATCCCTACCTGACTGGTCCCCATACACTACTTCTTCTTCTACCCTCAGGTTCTGCTTGTGCTCTGCTGGGAAAGACCATGTGTCCAATACTCTCTTTCAAAGTGCCACCCAAGACACATAAGTGGAAGAGAAAACACAGAAAGGCTCCTCTACTAGTCTTGAGTGAGGATCCTCTGGGTAAACATATGGATTGTTCCTCACTGAGAACACAGCAGAATCATGCTCCTCCCACAGACACTTCCTAATCTGAATACAAAGGAAGAAAATCCCTAGAGAAACAATGCCCTGACCCTCCCCAGGGCAGCAGGAGCCACCACATGACCAAAATGATGCTCAGAGTACCAAGGATACTAATAAGGTATGACTGTCTTCCTTCTTCTGGAAACAGTTTCTTTGAGTTATGCCCACTTAGGAAACAGATTAAACACTTTCAGGATACACCTCCCATTTGCATAACAAATTCTTCATAGACAAACACAAACTGAATATGGAAAATAACATAAACAACAACAAGGAAAATGGCTGCTGATTGGTTTCAACTTTGGAGCCCCATGGATAAAAGAGCCCAGCTGCAAGGAGTCATCATATCCCACAAACTCACTCATCTGTGAACAGGATCCCATCCTCCACACCTCACACCATGGCTCGCTGCTGCTGCTCCTCTTGCTGCTCCTCTTGCTGCAAGACCACCAGCTGTTGCACACCCTGCTGTCCACTCAGCTGCTGTGGGTGCAGCTGCTGTGATAAAACCAGCAGTGGATCCAGCTGCTGCCAGCCCTGCTCTCCCCCAGCTTGCTGGGATATCATCTGCTGCAAGACCACCTGCTGCAAGCCAACCTGTGTGGTCAGCTGCTGCAGCACACCCTGCTGTGAGCCCAGCTGCTGTGAGCCTTGCTGCTGCCCCAGTTGCTGCATCATTCCCTGCTGCCAGCCCTGCTGCCCTCCTACTTGCTCTCGAACCACCTGCTGCAGGACCACCTGCTCCAAAAAATCCCATGTGACCCGCTGCTGCAGCACACCCTGCTGCCAGCCCTGCTGCTGTGTGTGCACCTGCTGCCAGCCTTGCTGCCTGTGATCAACTCCCAAAGACCAGGGTCCACAAACTCTGCAAAACCTGCTTGCTTTCCCTTCCTGAATCAATTCTCTTCTTACCTCAGCTGAAATCTGTCATGCTCACAAAAATTCTGTTCAGTGTCCCCCACAGAAGACCTTCTGAATCACCTGGAGGGAGTGCAGACTACTCCACTATCAATCACCCTCTTCTTCCTTAGGCCTGTGTACCTTGTACCAGCATCATAGATCCTTGGTGAGGACGTGTGATCTTGCATGAAATTCTACAGCCAAGTTATTTACCTCTCGTCTAAAGAACTTAGAACTACCCTTCTTCAGAAGAATATCATAGCTCTATGCAAATTCCCCTTCATTTTTATGGTCATGATTTATTTTGCATTGTC